TGAGATGGAGCCTCACTCCATTGCCAAGGCTGGAATGCAGTAGAGTGACCTCAGCTCACTGCAACGTCCGCCTCCTGGGTTCAAGCAATTGTCCTTATTGATGAGACAGTAGTTCTCTTTAACAGTGTTCATCAGTTAGATTATGAAGCAAGCAATACATTGCCGAAAAGAGAAATGTGAGATCTGGATTCCAGCTACCTCTGACTTTTGTCACTAGCTACTGGTTTAAACCTGGTTAAAACAAGTCAACAGTTTTGCAACTTACATTACCTTAATATCTTCCCGTTTGTTTGGGGAACAAAAAAATAAAGTTAAGAAAAACATTTTGCATAGATTCTTCTCCCTCTAAAATCCACACACTCATACTTAGGACTGTTCTTTTTGTGATCATAATACCAATAGATAAAACTCCAAAAAAGAAAATTCTAATAGTATTCTCCAGATTTCATCTTCCACCTACTGCCCTTTGTGGAGGGGGAAAGATCTCATATCCTTCCTGATGTCAACATCCACCTATATGCTAACGCTTCCCACACCCATCTCAAGCCCCCATCTGCAATATCAGTATTGTATACATCATTGCCTGCTGGGTTTCCACTGCCCCTTCCTCAAAATCAACTTAGGTAAAATGACATTCTCTTCTTCCCTCCCTTCTCCCTCACCCACTTGCCAAATCACACACACACACCCTAGCTACATATGCATGCACACGCACACACACACACACCCTAGCTACACATGTACACGCACACACCCTAGCTACACACTCACATACATACGCATCCTAGCTTCACACCCACAGCCTAGCTACGCACGCACATGCACACACACACACCCTAGCTTCATACACACCTCCCCTAGCTGCACATGCATGCATGCACACACACACCCTAGCTACGCACACCCCCCAGCTTCACACAAACCCTAGCTACACACATGCACATACACACACCTGCATGCATGCACACACACCCCCAGTTTCTCATCTTCTGCTTGCTGTCCTAGTTGCTGGCTCCACCCAAGGTAGAATCTGAGGAATTATTCTTTAATTCTCCTCTCATTGGTCTCCACCCCATTCTAAGCAATACCAATAATAATTTTGCTACTAAAGGTTTTTCAAATATTAATAATAAGAAATATTTGTATTACCAATGTCAGTTGGTCTCTCTCTCTCTCACTGTCTCTTCAGTCTATCTGACTTTTCTTCTTGGCTCCCCAAATTCCATCTTGCACTCACTGCTCTTTGTAACTCCTGCTTAAAACCTTCGGAAGGCTCCCTGGCGCGTACAGAATAAAATTTGCATCCCCTGATCATACGCCTGCAGACACCTATGGCCTAATGTCACACCTTCCCTGCCTCTGGTTTATGCCTCAGCCACGCGCAGCCGTTGACTCTTACTGCACAGCCCATCGGTGCTCAGCGTGGTGCTTAGCCGTGTCTGCGATCTCCCCTCATGTCCTTGTCAGAGTCAGCACGGCCTCGCTTTGTCTTAGGAAGTCTCCCGGATACCGCTAGCCTGCCAGGACCCCTTCTTTGTGATTCTGTCATAACCCATTCATCCCTCTGTTTCACTGGAACACTTAACACCCTGTCATGTAATTATTCACTTATTTCTCTGTCCCACCAGAGTACATGTTCCCTCAGAGGAGGAACCATGATAAATTTACTTTATATCTCCAGTTTCTAACACCCAGTAGACACTCAAATATTTAGATAAATTCATACTGACCTGTAAGAACAGCAATTTACATTTTAAAAGCATCTAGCTCAGATATGTAGACAGAGCTCCAGTTCGGGAGCCACTCCCTCCCACACGTGGCTATTTAAATTTAAGTTATATTAAAATTAAATAAATGAAGAACTCAGTTTCTCAGTCATAGCACTCAAAGGCCCGGGAACCTCTGTGACCATGGCTACACAGATCACAGTCCCTTCACAGAGAGTTTGGTTGGGTGGCACCAATCTGCAGCTGCCAGGAACCACCTTCCTGCACCCCACAGGCCTACTTGTAACTCCTTTTCTAGTCCTCTTCCATCACCTCATGAGGCAAGACCACACAGCAAGGCATGATCAGATAAATCTGCAGCCTCTGTAACCTTCTTTGTGGTCTTCTTTTTGAAGATAAAGTGGTAATGCCCCAAATCCACATCTTGAGATGATTTGCTGGGCACGCTATGCTTAATCGAAGAGAGGCCATTTTCATCAGTTAGATTATGAAGCAAGCAATACATTGCCGATTCCAGCTACCTCTGACTTTTGTCACTAGCTACTGGTTTAAACCTGGATGAATCATAGTTCTTAAGTCGTGGTGGTAGAAATCTCAAAGATTTATGGAACAGAGTGAATGATCTTAGACAAGGGTATGGAAATAAGCATATTCCTCCCTTCCTCTTCAATCTAAAATTGATATTTTTAAGTATAAGAAAAGAACAAAGGTATTAAATGTGGGAATGCCTTATGTTCCTTTTTAAATATATATATAATTCATTTTTGATATATAATATATATATATTTAGAAGTTTTTAAATTCATATATATATATATATTTTTTTTTTTTTTTTTTTTTGAGACAGAGTCTCGTTCTGCCACCCAGTCTGGAGCACAACGGTCCAATCTCTGCTCACTGCAACCTCGACCTCCCAGGTTCAAGCGATTCTCCTGTCTCAGCCTCCTGAGTAACTGGGATTATAGGTGCCTGCCACCATGCCCAACTAATTTTTTAATGTTTTTATTAGAGATGGAGTTTCACCATGTTGGCCAGGCTGGTCTCAAACTCCTGACCTCAAGTGATCCACCTGCCTCAGCCTCCCAAAGTGCTGGGATTACAGGCGTGAGCCACCACACCCAGCCAAAAACTTCTAAATGATATTCAAATGTTAACATTTAGAAAACACAGATAAACCGAAGTCTTTATTTTTAATCAACTGTTTCAAGTTTGGGGTTTGTATTAATCAAAGTTTTAATAAACTTTCTATTGATGAGACAGTAGTTCTCTTTAACAGTGGTAGATGAATTGTGTTTATTCTAAAACACTCTGTTAACATTAGCTGATTTCAGATCATCAGCTAGTTAAAGCCAGCTCAGAAGAAGGTCTATTTTAAAGCCATTTAATGAACTGACATTTATATAGACATGAATGAACACCTGGAAACTCAAACTGTGTTTCCTTCCAGTGTGAATTAGTAAAGAACAGTTCTCCGTGTCGCACCTGCCCTGGGCCCGCTCAGGGTGTATGGACTGGGTGCTGGAATGGACACTTGGCCTTGTCAGCCACCAGTGTATTCTCCCTCTGATGAGAGGAGCTGATTCTGTGATCTCTAGGTCTCTTCCAGTTCCAAAACTTGGTAGCTCCAGAAGCGTGAAACTGGAAAAGATGTTGAGGAATTCTATCTATTCCTAAACCAAGATTTACTTACCTCTGGTCATATTTGCTGTCTTACAAATGGCCACAAATACAGAGACTGTTAAATACATCCCATATCACATTACAGGGTTTTTTTCGTTCACATCTTATAGTAATTTTTTGTTCTCTACTTTTTAGTGCATTTTGAAACTCTTCTCCTATTCTTTTCACCAACTTCTTTTTTTTTTCCAGTACCACTCCTTTTTTTCCAATCAAGTATTTATTGAATGCCTTCAGTAAGTACTAAAAGTAGAGACAGAAATATGATGGTCTTTGCCCTCCTGTTGTTTATAATTTAAATAGAATATAAAAAGCATACCTGAGAATCATTCCAAGTGCTGAGTGAGCACAGTGTCTTCCAGACACTGTCTTAGGCCGTGTACAGTGTGACTGGACACTACAGAAGTCCAGAGGCTGCGGAGGTCAGTTCAGTCAGTGAGTAAACACCACAGGGGCTGAAAAGGCTGGAGAAGCCACATGGAAGAGTAGTAGGACTTAGGTTTTAGTATAAAAGACGGCAGAGGGCTTTCCATTTTGTTGTGGGATGTGAACCGGGCTGTGCCACCGCATGTTGATGTATTTCTCCCGTGCCTTCCCAAGAGCAGAGATGCAGTCTTACTCAAACCTCTGCTCCTTACTGCATGTCTGGCATCTGGTGACTCTGCTGACTTGTCTAGTGAATTCCTGGCTGACGCTGCACCATGAGCAAAGAGCAAGTGAAGACTCAGGGCTGTAGAAGACAGTAGAGAACAAATAAAGGGCAGTCTCAAAAAAGGTTGACTTTATTCTTTTTTTCTTGCCTCTCAGTTGTGTCAGCTGTTTCCCCATTTTCCCTCTCCTCAAATTTAATGACTGGCTTCCAAACATGGTTTTTTGGGGTTTTTTTTGAGATGGAGCCTCACTCCATTGCCAAGGCTGGAATGCAGTAGAGTGACCTCAGCTCACTGCAACCTCCGCCTCCTGGGTTCAAGCAATTGTCCTGCTTCAGCCTCCTGAATAGCTGGGATTACAGGGGCCCACCACCACACTCAGCTAATTTTTGTATTATTAGTAGAGACAGGATTTCACCATGTTGGCCAGACTGGTCTCGAACTTCTGACCTCAAGTGATCTGCCCACCTCGGCCTCCCAAAGTGCTGGGATTACAAGCGTGAGCCTCCGCACCTGGGCCCAGACATGTTTTTAAACCAAAACTTTTTCTTCACACCAGACTTACACAGAAGTACAGTGTCAATCAGCTAGAAATGGAGATGGAGACCAGAGCCTTCCCACCCACCACCTCCCATCCTTCTTATCCTTCAGGGCCTCCTGAAGGCCTCATAGAGCAATGTGAAATTTCTTTTCCAAGAGGGAGTGGCCCACTACTGAGTTAGTACTCAGCTGGTACTGAACTCACCAGTGGAGTCCACCTGCCTCTGTTGACCCTTGTATGAGCCTCTTTGCCCACCCTCTGTAATGAAATCCACAAAACAATTGAAGGAGATACCAGAATTTCCCCGTGAGGAGGAAGCAGTGACACTTCCAACTGCAAACTGAACACTTTATTCACCCCAATATAGGAAATGCTGTCATGTGTATGTAAATTTCACTTGTTAACTTATCAGGACTCATTCTAGCAACGTTTTTTTGTTTGTTTGTTTTACATTGTAATAAATGCTTTCTAGCCACCAAAATACCTACTATATGGTAAACTCTGTATATATGTGATCTTATTTAATCTCCCTTTCCATAGAGACTCCATATTCTTTTAAGAGGTGCCTTCCACCATTCCAGGATATGACCTGTGCTCCCCTGCAGAGTTTTCATTTGATGACACTGTCCACCAGAAATTTCTTACCACCCATTGCTGTCTTTGGGGTTTAACTTAAATGTAGGTCCAAATTATCACACAGAACAGTCTACTGTTTAAGTAACCATGATTTAGTTCTGAATTGCTTTGTAATCAGCTAATATATTATTGTAGATCAAATACTCATGAAATTAGAATGATGCTAATTATTTACATTATCAATTACAAACTCAACTGTTTTATATAAAAAGAAAAAGCTCCTTAATTATTTTAAGAACAAAGACACAGACTTGCTTTTTAATTAACAAAATATGAGCAATTTCCATTTGATTGACTGTCCTTTTCCAACATGACGCCCAGTAGCTGTGTGGTGTTCCACAGGAATAACCCGCTGTATGTTACTTACTCAGTCCTCTAGTTTTTAACATGTAGGCTGTTTCCAGTTTTCTACCATTATAAAGAGCAACACTGTTGTGAACATTGTGTTTTCGCTTTCATTTTCCAGTTTTCTACCATTATAAAGAGCAACACTGTTGTGAACATTATGTTTTCGCTTTCATTTTCAAGTTTTCTACCATTATTAAGAGCAATACTATGTAAACATTGTTACTTTTTTGCTTTCGTTTCTGTCTCGATTTTTTTTTGGCCTCAGAACTCGATCATTTTCTGAGTGAGGAAGAATGCAATTGTATCTTTGATACAGTATTGTAAGTGCTATCAGAAAGCTGTATAAGATCCTAAGCTCCTTGAGTGTGCTCTACAGCTGTAATCCCATGCACTCTGGGAGGCCAAGCCAGTCAGATGCTCGAGATATGAACCAGCCTATAAGACAAACATATAGACAAACCCTGACTCATATACAAAAAAAAATTGCTGAGCGGTGTGTCTCATCACCTATAATTCCAGTACTTTGAGAGATCTGAAGTTGTGAGTGGATCACTTGAGATTCAGTAGTTTGAAACATCCTGCCAACATGGAATAAACCCCATCTCTATACGTAAAATATACAAAAATATATGCCAGGCTTGTGGTGCATCCTGTAGCATCCGCAGCTACGTCGGGATGGCTGAGGCAGGGAGAATTTGCTGAAACCTGGATGTGTATGTTCAGTGAGCGAGATCACCCAGCACTTGCTAGCCTAGAGCGACGGAGTGAGTATACTCTCGTTTGGTGCCACCTGTATCCTCCTCGCTACTGGAAGGCTGAGGCTCAGGATATCGTTTCAGCTTACTCTATTATTTCTATTCTGTATATTCTTATATTCATCTCTAGCTGCAACTCCATCCTTTTTTATATTAGCATAATTGTCTCTCTAGTTAACTGAATATAATAAAGTTCCAACCCACATGGTTTCTCTACTATTCTTTTTTATCTCATCTATCTTTAGTCTTAGTGCAGGGCGGATTACTGATCTCCTGCTATTTATTTCTTTAGGATCAGTTCCTTTGGGACATTCAATAATTATTCCTTTTACTATAATATATTTTTCATAAATCTTAGCTTCTGCATGTTAACAACATCTCCCTGTAATCTGCGCAGTTCAAGGCTGAGGTGGAGGAGTACCTATAATGGCCAGTAGGTCAAGGCTGCAGTAGAGCTGGATTTTACACTGCCTCTCCAGCCTTTTTTATATTTTATCTTTTTTATATATATTTTCTTTTATATATGGTTTATTTGTATTAGTAACACTTTGCTTCTTGTGCTCTCGGGTTTTTTTGTCTTGATTGTTAGAAGACATAGGTCTCTAACTCCCTCTAATCTCTAATCACTCCTCGGTTCTCTCGGTCCTCCAATTGCCATAGCTACCATCTTCCTATTTAGCTTTTAGATATAAATCAGTTTTGTTTTCACGAAAGTCTATATTTATTATCTTAATTTATTTTTATATATATAATATATTATCTTTCTTTATCTATTTTATCTTCTTTTATTTATACTATTGAGCCTAAGGCAGGATATAAGCTTTGAGGTCAGGAGTTCAAGACCAGCCTAGCTCTGACATGGCTAAAACCCCATCCGTATATAAGAGACAAAAATTAGTCCATGTGTGTGGCCTTACACTGTATTCCCAGCTACTCAGGAGGCTGAGGGCATGGGTAATGTAACTAACTCAGGAGTCGGAGGTCAATGAGCTCTAAGATCTATGTCATGCCAGCTCCAGCTAGTGTGTACAGAGCAAGACTCTTCTCCAAAAAAAAAAAGAAGTCGATGCCTGTAATCCCAGCATCTTGGAGGCCGAGGAGGGTGGATCCACGAGGGTCAGGAGTTCAAGGTGACCATTCTGACCTACATGGTAAATGTCCTCTATACCAAATAAAAAGAAATACAAAAATTAGCAGCGGATGGCACCAACCTAATCCTCAGTTACTCAGGATGCTGATCAGGGAATCGCTTGAACCCAGTGAGTCGGAGGTCTGCAGTTAATCTTGAGATCGCACTACTTTACTCTAGCCTGGCAGACTAGAGCGAGACTCTTCGTCTCAAAAATAAAAAATATTATTATTTATTAGATTATTATATATATAGACACTAAGTAGAAATTACAAGTAAATGTTTATTTCACATAGTATTTAGTAAATATTTCAGAAATAAATATTATACTTCATTTGTGTTTAGTCTAAAACAAGTCAGGATCTCTTCTCTCTGGTAATAGGAATTTTACTTTTATTTGGCACAATGTAGACATTTTTCTTTTTCTTTTTCTTTTCTTTTTCTGGGACAGAGTCTTGCTCTGTCACCCAGGCTGGAGTGTAGTGGCGCGATCTCAGCTCACTACAACCTCTGCCTCCCCAGGTCAAGCGATTCTCCTGCCTCAGCCTCCCAGGTAGCTGGTACTACAGGCACACGCCACCACGCCCAGCTCATTTTTGTATTTTTAGTAGAGATGAGGTTTCACCATGCTGGCCAGGCTGATCTCGAACTCCTGACCTTGTGATCTGCCCGTCTCGGCCTCCCGAAGTGCTGGGATTACAGGTGTGAGCCACCATACCTGGCCCACAATGTAAACATTTTTCTAGACTCATATGACATTTCATGAGATGTTTATTTTTTTCATCCATTCATTCAACAAACACTCATTACTTACTAAGTGATGGGTTTGGTACTGGACATACATCAGTGAACAAGACAGACCCAGCATCTGCTCCTATGGGGCTCGCAATGTATTACTTTTATAAATGTATTAAATGTTTCCCTAATAATATTAACCACTGTTTTATTATGTGCCAGGTAATGTGGTAAGCATTTTGAATGCATTACCTCATTTAATCTTTCCAGTAACCCTATGGAAAAAGTGATATTAAATACCCTCTTTCACAATGATGAAACTAAGATAAGAAACATGCTCCGGCCAGGTGCACCGGCTCACACCTGTTACCCCAGCACTTTGAGAGGCTGAGGTGGGGGGATCGCTTGAGCTCAAGACCAGCTGGGCAACATAGGAAGACCCCATCTCTACAAAAAATTTAAAAATTAGCTGGGTGTGGAAGTGCACACCTGTGATCCTGGATACTGGAGTCTGAGGTGGGAGGATCACTTGGGCCCAGAAGGTGGGAGCTGCAGTGAGCCAAGATCACACCACTGCCCTGCACCAGAGCAACAGAGTGAGACCCTGTCTCCAAAAAACAGAAAGAAGCATGCTCAGTTTCACATCACTCTAATCAGGGCAGAGCCAAGGCACAAACCCAGACCTGTCTTGTTTTAAAACCCCTTCTAGTTTGTCTTCTGCTTGCCTTGAACCTTTAACATAATTTGGTGCCTCATGTTAACATAACTGTTTAATAAGAAAATGTTATTAAGTAGCATGAGAGCACAAATGTCTAAGAAATCAATTTCTCCGCCTGTATTTTGCTCAGGAAGAAACCCTGCACAAGTCGACTAGCAGCAGCAGCGTGTCTCCCTCTTTTCCTGAAGAGCCAGTCCTGGAGGCCGTGTCCACAAGGAAGAGTGAGTAGTTGTGGTGCTAAGAACTATAGTCGAATATCTTACTACAAAACACACTTGACCTGGAGCAAAGATCCCAGAGTGTCCTATGATCATCTGGGGTAGAAAGAACTAACCCAGGCATTTCACTGATCGGGAGATGAAATACTTATTTTCCAAGTGTGGCATCACACCAGACCTCAGGGACTTACGACAGAGCAGGCACGTTTGTGTTTATGAACAGTAGTCATGGGAAATAGTATAAATCAGTTGTGTGTGTAGTGTTCTGTTATGTTTCGTTTTAGATAGATTACCTCCTTGGCTAAATTTAAACCGGAAGCCGAAAACAACCATATTTATTATCACTCCACCTACCACCCACACACACCCATCTCCAAAAACCTGTGTAAATAGTGAAAACACCTTTGTAACTCTTTAGGAGATAGATTCTGAACACAGATATCTAAAGTTAAGGGATTTCTAAAGGCTTTTAATAATCCTTTTCATTTATAAGAACATTATGAAGTATTATATATTGGCTTGATTTCTCATACATAAAAATTCTTTAAGTAGTGTTTTCATTATTTACACAGATTATATCAAAAACAGTGGGTGCTGACTAGTTATCCACAATTGGTATTTGGCCAGACCCATTAAATATTATAGGGACCCAATTGAATCACATAATGGATTTCTGTATCTTTTCTTGACTGTGGAAATTATATCTGTGTTTTCCTTTAGTGGTTTCTCTTGGTGGGACAGTCTAAATAGATGGATCATATGTAACTTTGTGTTGACTCTCACTCTTCACACCCACTACATTGAAGCAGCTCTACTTTGTAGACAGAGTAGGAAGAAGCACTAAATAAAACTCTGGCACCATAATTTATTTCTAATGTTCTCCTTATGTTTTCAAAATGTGAATCCAGAACCATTCAGACACTAAAGCATTCTCCTTTTAAACACTATCTTAAAATATTACTAGACAGAGAAGGACAATGGTACAGTATTAACATCAAAGCTGAAGCTTCCTTTTTCTGTTTAAATACGGTTTAATTTAAACCTAAGGACAAAATGTCTTGGTAAACATGTAGAAAGAAGGGTTTTCCTGGTTTTATCTTTAAAGAGGAGAATGTAAAAAAAGGGTACACTTGAGAATTTTGGTATGACTTGGGAATCTTTCTGGCCACACCTAATATTTTTCCTTTTTTCTTGCTATTTCTGTAGCAAGTTTACTTTGCAAAGATTCTTCTGTAACAGCCCTCAGAGTGTGCTCCTAAGGATTACCATTACCATCTTAAAATATCTATCCAATGAAATAAATAACTCATCTTTGAATACAGTGTTTGTCACAAATGTCAAAGGGCTTTGTGTTAGAAAATTCACAATAAGTTTTATTTCATTTGGTTAAATCTTTAGAGCCTCCCAAATTCCTACCCATATCATCAACACCCCAGCCAGAGAGACGGCAGCCGCCCCAGAGACGACATTCCATTGAAAAGGAAACGCCTACTAACGTGAGGCAGTTCCTGCCGCCTTCCAGGCAGAGTTCCCGCTCTCTTGTAAGTACAGGAAAGACTTCGTAGTAACTTAGGGATCAGCTAGAAGACCTAGAAGAATCCTTAGCTTTCTTACGAAGATGATGAGAAAAAAACTTGCAAAAGTTAGAATGAACTTTGAATAATTTAATAGCTAAAGAAAACAAAACAGCCAGGCATGGTGGCTCATGCCTATAATCCTAACACTTTGGGAGGCCAAGGTGGCAGGATTGCTTGACTCCAGGAGCTCGAGACCAGCCTAAGCAACATTGTGAGATCCCGTCTCTGCAAAAAAAATAATAATAATTTGTGGTAGTGCACACCTGTGGTCCCAGCTGCCTGAGAGGATGAGGTGAGAGGATCACTTGTGCCCAGGAGGTTAAGGCTGTAGTGAGCTATGATCGCACCACTGCACTCTAGCCTGGGCAACAGAGTGACACCTTCTCCAAACTCTATCCATAACTTAAATGAAACTTGACCAGTGTTTGTTCTTTTTGAGCTCTTTTTTTTTTTTCCAGAAAATTTATCACTGGTTTAAAATATGGATTATTATTAGAGAAATGCTTTCTTTTAAAGGCTATTAATCCATTTAAAAATTGTTAAAACTTGACTCAAAAAACTGTTACAAAGTGACTATAGTAGATGATCTCGTTGAGGCAGAAGTATAAAGCGAGGGAGAATTTTGATCCCTTAATAACTACTGTACATTGTTTTCTAGTATGTTTTGTGATATTTGGGGCCAGTGGGGTTATTTTGGTTGAACTGGCTAACAGTTTTTGCTGTTTTCCAGACACTTGCAGGCTCTTCTAGTGGGTGCTTATTTCTCAGCACGGTGGGCAGCACACAGGGTCTGCCAGGAGGAATTAAGAGATCTCCCGGCCAGTGGAGGTCTCCAGAGACTCTTCTGTAGCCCCACTTGGCTTCTGAAGTATTTGTAGGCAAGATGCACAGCTGTAATTAATATTCTACCCACAGTCAAATATCTAATGTGTTTTCAAATATTAATGAATGAAAAATAATAGAATATATTGAATACATAAGTCCATTTTTTTAAGGCTATGACGAATTATTAGAGTTTCAATGAAAATAGTAACAGATGGGAGATAATGTGGTTACTGTGAAGACAAGGATTTTGAACAGAGCTTAGAAGGTGAATATTTGGTCATTCATCTCTATTCCAAAACAGTACAGTTAAAGAACTAATGATTTTATGGCCATTCCTGATAGGATTCTTCTAGCTCCGGAATAATCACTAAAACAAGCTATTTGATTAAATATAGCCTTGTCAGTGATTTACCAACAGGAAAACAGAAAGATTCAAACTAAAAAAATCTAAAGACTTGTTTTCATGTGAATAAGTTGTTGCTTTTACCAAAATATACAGCTATTATCACAACTTTAAAATACGTAAGAGGGGCCAGGCGCAGTGGCTCACACCTGTAATCACAGCACTTTGGGAGGCCGAGGGAGGAGAATCGCCTGAGGCCAGAAGTTTGAGACCAGCCTGGGCAACTTAAGAAACCCCTGTCTCTAAAAATTTTTAATTAAAAACTTAGTTAGATGTGGTGGCACATGCCCGTAATCCCAGCTACTCAGGATGCTGCAGGGGGAGGATCCCTTGAGCCTAGGAGTTTGATGCCACAGTGAACTAAGAGTGTGCCACTCCACTCCAGCGTAGGTGACAGATATGTGTCTATGTGTGTATATTTGTGTGTGTGTGTATATATGCGTATACACACACACACACACACACATATATATAGGTAAGAGGGAACTTGTGGTTTTTTTTCATAAGTCTAATCATTAGGGTATTCTCTTCTTCACTCAGCTTTTCCTAGAAGTCAGTCTGTCATTCAGCTGGTAACTGGCCTTTATGTGATCATACAATGTCATTATTGAGGTTAGACTTCAAGTTTAAAATTATCAATGTAAAGGAACTATCAGATAGCTATAAAGTAGTTTCAGCTTATAACAGAAGTTATGCTAAGACCTTCAGCTGACACCAAAGGCCAATGAACGTGTCTGTTTCCTGCTAAAGCAGAGCTCTTAGTGTGTGCTCGGTCAGGCTGTGCACTGTTTTTTTGTGGAGCAGGAAGGAGAGCACGATAAACTAGCTTGCAATCGCTGAGGAAAGTCTCAGCGAGCAGGCAGTGGGAGAGCCCCTCTGGTCAGCACTCAACAGTGGTCAGATTGAGGGCAGGGAGCAGAGTCCACGCAGGCCTCCGAGCACCAGCGGAGACAAAACGAAATGATCTTTCTTGCTAATAGCTTATCTTGGGAAATCCATAAAATCATACCTTGTAGTAACGCCCTGTAGCTTGGTAAGTATTGTTTTTATAAGTGTAATTGATTTTAAAATGTAGCTGCATTTTAGAAAACAAAGAATCATTTTGTATTTGTAACTCCTTAACTGAAAATGGCAGGAATGTTTTTATTGTTGATAATTTTTTTTTTTTTTTTTTGAGATGGAGTTTTGCTCTTGTTGCCCAGACTGGAGTGCAATGGCGCGATCTCGGCTCAGCACAACCTCCACCTCCCGGGTTCAAGCCATTCTCCTGCCTCAGCCTCCTGAGTAGTTGGGATTACAGGCATGTGCCACCACACCCAGCTAATTTTGTGTTTTTAGTAGAGACGGGGGTTCTCCATGTTGGTCAGGCTGATCTCTAACTTGTGACCTCAGGTGATCCACCCACCTCGGCCTCCCAAAGTGCTGGGATTACAGGCGTGAGCCACTGCACCTGGCTGATAATTTTTATTTTTATTGTATCTCCCTCCCTTTTCTTGTGATGTTTAAAATGTATTTTTTTTTCATCATTTGGTCAAATAACTGAGGGTAAGTACCCATCCAAGGCAGGCGCAAGTGACTGCCTGGCACATGTCCCCATGCTTTCTTGGGCACAGTAACGAGTTGCCTCTGTCCTTTGTCACAACAACCCCCATTGAGGAAACTCAGTGTGTTCACAGGACCCTAAATTAGATAAAAATCCTTGCTGTGTGAACGCTGAGATTCTCCAGGAGGGACTTCGTGGTTTCATCACTGATTTATACGTGTGGTTGCAGATGTTGGCACGGACCGTACCATCCTCATGGTGTTTTTTGTTCTGTTTTCCTTTTGTGATCTGTAATCACTATGTGTAGGTCACTTGTGTTCAGCATTATTTTCTCCTTTTCTTTTCCCCCTGCCATTTTCTTTTTCCTTTATCTGTTGTTCAGGTTCCTAGGATAACCAGTGTATGGCCAAGGACGCCTTTTCGACCACTTTTTTCTACCATACAAACAGCTTCTCTGCTCAGCTCTCATCCTTTTGAAGCAGCCATGTTTGGGGTAGCAGGGGCTATGTATTATCTGTGTGAGAGAGCTTTTACCAGCAGGTGGAAATCCTCAAAGGTTGGCCTCTTTCTGCTGGGTCTGGGATTATTTCATTCTCTGTATCTCTGATGGTGACACCTCAACTGTTGCACTCTCTGAGAATTAACCGCTTAGATAGCACTTTGCTTCCAATCATTGATTCCACTCTTGTGCAGGATGCACCGATCATGCCGTGGTCTCAGTTGAGAGGGAAATACCTAGGAAAGGACAACAAACTCAAAATGCAGCATCTGATGAGAGGGACCTGTGGGTATTTGTCTCCTCGGGTGACCTAATCGTATAGCAGAGTCAGTGCTGCCACCTTTCTCCATGTGCAGCAGGCACTCTGAGCCCGTGGGGTGCATTCCTTCTAGGGCCTCCCCCCACCATCAGAAGAGTATTTGCTCACTCATTCCATGGGCAGAGCAGCCTCCTGCCAGGCCAGGTAGCCACGGTGGATTCCGCCCACCCACAGACACCTGCACAACCAGGGCATGGGCTCAGGAAACCTGTGTGTTCCCAGCACCTGTCATGAAGCTGTGTTTTGACAAGCAGGGTGTGCATTACTTCTCTGCAGAGAGAAATTTCAAGTTTCCTTTTTATTGATGTAGCTACTCTAAATAATTCTGCATTATATTACTGTTTTTTGAGGTTTTTTTACACAGAATAATGTATCATTACTTGAACTTTCACATTTCTAAGTGAAATAAAAAGCTCTAGGACCATATTGAAGCCTCTTCTGCCACCAGGCAGCAGGTGCTCAGGGCAGCCTTTGTGCCACAGTAGGCAGGGCCCGGCTCTCCAAAGCCCTGGATTTACTAACCTTGTCCTTGACAGATGACCCTGCAGCTGGTTTCTTTGTTATTCTTTCTTAGTCATCTTGATATGGAAAGGAGACTCAGTGTAAATAAGACATAACACATTCCTTTCTCTGACCTTTGTCATGAAATGCAAGAAAAACCTCTGTCCTTTTTCCCATTTTAGATGTGCCCTTGGGCAGCATGTGGTCAGGTGCCAAGGTGGGTTTTTAACTCCTGTCACTGCTGCCTCTACTGAAGACCTGCTGGCATTTGATTATCAGTTCTCCCCAAACAGAGATATCTCAACACTAAGGCCATATACCACTTAGGCAGAGAAAGGATTCACTTTCAGTTTTGTTTGTTTGTTTTTGGGTTTTTTTGAGACCGAGTCTCGCTCTGTCGCCCAGGCTGGAGTGCAGTGGCGTGATCTCGGCTCACTGCAAGCTCTGCCTCCTGGATTCACACCATTCTCCTGCCTCGACCTCCCGAGTATCTGGGACTACAGACACCTGCCACTATGCCTGGCTAATTTTTTTTGTATTTTTAGTAGAGACGGGGTTTCACCATGTTAGCCAGGATGGTCTCGATCTCCTGACCTTGTGATCTGCCCACCTCGGCCTTCCAAGGTGCTGGGATTACAGGCGTGAGCCACCGTGCCTGGCCTTCACTTTGAGTTTTATAGTTGATTAAGAAGAGTAAACTTAACAGTTGCTGTTTTTATTTAAATTTGCCTCTCTTTGGTTTATTAAAAACTCAAAAAGCAACCATTATTTTTGGTAATTTTCAAATACTGGTTAATTTATGAAGTTTTTACTAATTATGAACACTGTATAAAAGATGACTACTTGGCCGGGCGCGGTGACTCATCCCTGTAATCCCAGCACTTTGGGAGGCCGAGACGGGCGGATCATGAGGTCAAGAGGTCGAGACCACGGTGAAACCCCATCTCTACTAAAGATAAAAGAATTAGCAGGGCATGGTGGCGGGCGCCTGTAGTCCCAGCTACTCGGGAGGCTGAGGCAGGAGAATGGCGTGAACCCGGGAGGCGGAGCTTGCAGTGAGCCGAGATCGCACCACCGCACTCCAGCCTGGGGGACAGAGCGAGACTCCATCTCGAAAAGAAAGAAAAAAAAATGAGTATTCCCATTTCTCTCTGTGGCACAATAACCAAAATTTTACATTATGCTGCCTAATCTCCGTGCTGCCTAATGACCCTTTTTGAATGGTAAAATATAGCCAGAATAATCATCAAAAAACCTCAACAATTTTAGTGACATGCATAGAAGTGAGTTTAAAGTCTTAGAGCACATTGTTATCTTCGTTAACGCTCTCTAAGATTTAGCTTCCCTTTCCTGCATCTGGGAGTCCCGCTGACACATGGGCAAGCGAGGGAACTAGAATTGTGCTAGTGCGGTTCTTCCCCTGGCCACATCTGGCCACTCACATGGGCCAAACACTTGCTATGGGAGCCACAGGCAGTGCCGTGGTGGGGAAGGGCTCCTGCTCTCGCCGGGGCCTTAAGTGCCCCCCACACTCCAGAGTGCTAATAGCTCTGCAAGGTCTGTGGAAGTTTAATTTGGCTTTGGAGATGTCAAATTAATATGTTTGTAAACTGAAAAAAATAAAACTATTTTAGTAACTATTTATCATTTTCTTTTATGTTGCATTAAAGTGTTGTTGTCCTTGGGAAGGCTCCAAGATTAAAACATTAGCATTTGACCAGATGGAAATTATTTCACTAAAGGGTAGTCTGCTTGAAATTTTTTATAAAAGAGTAAGAAAACAAACAAAAATCTACTATTTTTAAATTATATCTCATGATGGCCAGGCGCAGTTGCTCACGCCTGTGATCCCAGCACTTTGGGAGACTGAGGCTGGTGGATCACTTGAGGACAGGAGCTCGAGACCAGCCTGGCCAACATGGCCAGGTATGGTGGTACACACCTGTAATCCCAGCTACTCAGGAGGCTGAGGCACGAGAATCACTTGAACCCGGAAGGCAGAGGTTGCGGTGAGCCAAGATCATGCCACTGTACTCCAGCCTGGGTGACAGAGCGAGACCTTGTCTCAAAACAAAGCAGAAACAATTATATCCCATGAAGTACTGGATTTTCATGTGGGTCAGTGAGTTGAAAGTATGCTTTACTAAGCCCTTTTGTGACTCCAGACTGAAGAGAGGGAGGTGCAAGCTGCCTAGTTGGTTGTGCCGTGCTAGCGTATCCCTACAAATGCAAAAAATCACCATCTGCCTGAAGGGTTTCCAGCCCAGTCATCCATGTTATAAAGTCAGTTAAGTTGGTACCATTCGCTGCCTTCCTAGCACACACAATAACAAATCTGGCTATCTGGTTATTTGCTACATAATAAATCTAGTAGTGTTTACCTGGTTATGTGCTAGATTCCCACATTATTTTGTTGCAGCATAGCCATTTTGTCATATAGTTAGCCATCAGAAGGTATACCCTATTCATACTCATCACCGATGAATAAAAATAATAGCAAAACTTCTGAAACACATCAAAAGCTGAGAAATGCCATCATTTGGATGTATTCAGCCAACACTACTTACTTAGTGCACAGTTTTACTGGCCTAACCCTCAAAAATTCAGTTTATTGTTCCCACTTAACACTACTCTTTTTCTGAGAGTGGAGCAAAACAGAGTAGGTATCAGGCATGCTGATTTAATTCTGTCATCTCTGAAAGTAGTTCCTGTTGAAAGAGAAAACTGTGATCGTTGATTTTTTAAATGAATATTTTAGGTACCTTAGAGCAAATGATAGAATCTTTCTGAATAAACTCACCCCCCTGTTCTCTTATACTAATAAGCTCCTTATCTTAAAAATTCAATTGCAGGATTTTTCTGAAAGCATTTTTAAGCAAATGTAATCTTCCTTAAGTTTGCTTGAACAGAGATGGTTTTGTATTGATTTTTAGTAAGAAGCAGTAGTTCTTCAGACTACTTTTTTAAGCAAAATGCTAATGTTTGACAAGTTTGTAACCTAGATTGAGTTTTGTTTTTCTCTGATTGAAAGACAGAACTGATTGTTAAAACTCCATAAACTGACTGCATTCATGGTCATGTGCTTTCTCACTGGCGTGTTGGATTCCAGACTGCCTGTGAGCAGTGCTGTGTGTGTGGGAGTGAATTATAATGTGTTTGTGCTGAGAACATTCAGTTTCAGTGTCACTGCACCACAATGGCCCCTTGCAGCCTGGCAGGGTCCGAATGCACAAGACTGTTCTGTCTTTCTCTGAGATCCACCAATCAAGTGCGGGGCCGGCTGGGGAGCGGATGGGTGTGAGGCTCTTATTCAGTGAGATCAGTTACATCAACATCTTCCGCAGCTGCTTGTAGGGAAACCATTACCACAAGACCGCCAACATAAATATTTATTACGAAATTCTTTTACATTCCTCTAGTCTTTCCAGTGCTGACTCTACATTTAGCAGTTGTTGAAAGTAACAACAAATCTAGAGAACTGTGGTGCAGCCTGCAGAGACTGCCTTTTGGGTATAAACGCTCCGGTAGTTTCGTGTTCCAGTTCCGCTTCTACCATTAGGATTTGTAAAGGTGTGCTGATGTAACTGATCACTAAATAATGCTTGTCAGTAAAAATTACTAACCACCTTCTTTTGGCTATTCTGGGTACCACAAACGAGTTTTAAAAACAGGGCCAGGCTGGGCGTGGTGGCTCACCCCTGTAACCCCAGCACTTTTGGGAGGCCGAAGTGGGCAGATCACTTGAGCCCAGGAGTTCAAGACCAGCCTGGGCAACATGATGAATCCCCATCTCTGCAGAAAATACAAAAAATTAGCTGGGCATGGTGGCGTGCACCTGTAGTCCCAGATACTTGGGAGGCTGAGGTGGGAGGATCACTTGAGCCCAGGAAGTCAAGACTGCAGTGACCCATGATCGCGCCACTGCCCTCCAGCCTGGGTGACAAAAGAAGGACCAGTGTAGATTTGTTTTTTATCTACTGGTATATAATGTACAACACAACACTAAGTAATGTCTTTTTCATAAGCATAGAAGAAAACTGACCACAAAATTGGTTTAGAATAAAATTTTTTTTCAATATTTCAAGCCCTGCTTAACGGAATAGAGTTACTTGAGTCAAAATACCTGAGGAAATGTGAGGAACTTTAATTTATTGGACATTTCAGTAGATCACTTGGTCCCCGCATGTTTTCTGCCATCTTTAGTCTTAGTGTAATTAGAAATGATGTGGTCCCCAGAGGGAGCCAGCTCTGTCCCAGTGGTCATCGGGAAACCTCTTTTCTTCTCTGAAGCTACTAATCAGGTGTCTGATCTGAAGGGAAATTTTGCACTTCCAGAACAGGGGGTAGGAATCTCTTATTCATGTGACATTTTGAATTTCAGGAGGAATTCTGCTACCCAGTGGAATGCCTCGCTCTTACTGTGGAAGAAGTGATGCATATTCGCCAGGTCCTGGTGAAGGCAGAGCTGGAAAAATACCAACAGTATAAAGACATCTACACCGCCTTGAAAAAAGGAAAGGTAGTGCTGCTTAAGGTTGATTGATCAGAAGAGTAGAAGAATGGCCAGTCCCATGCATGGTCTCCTGGGAGAGTTATCTGCTAGCCAGGTGGCACAGACTTTGAGGGGATTTGGGATGTGTGATGTTCATATCCTAGTAGACAGTACCTGTGCTGCCTCATTCACAAGAGGGGGCATTTTCGTTTCTCCCTTAGAAATAAAAACTGGAAGGTTTTCAAGCAACCATAACAAATAACAATATGTCTTCATAAAACTATGTGTGTGGCCAGGCACGGTGGCTCACGCCTGTAATCCCAGCACTTTGGGAGGCCGAGGTGGGCAGATCATGAGGTCAGGAGATCAAGACCATCCTGGCCAACATGGTGAAACCCCGTCTCTACTAAAAATACAAAAATTAGCTGGGCGTGGTGGTGCATGCCTGTAGTCCCAGCTACTCAGGAGACTGAGGCAGGAGAATCACTTGAACCCAGGAGGTGGAGGTTGCAGTGAGCCAAGACACCACTGCACTCCAGCCTGACAACATAGTGAGACTCCATCTCAAAAAAAAAAGCCATGTGAGCATTTAGTCATTATGCTTTTAAAGGATCTGTAAAGAAAATGTATCTGAGAAGGCTGGGCGCGGTGGCTCACGCCTGTAATCCTAGCACTTTGGGAGGCCGAGACGGGCGGATCATGAGATCAGGAGATCGAGAGACCATCCTGGCTAATACGGTGAAACCCCATCTCTACTAAAAATACAAAAAAATTAGCCGGGTGTGGTGGCGGGCACCTGTAGTCCCAGCTACTCGGGAGGCTGAGGCAGGAGAATGGCGTGAACCCGGGAGGCGGAGCTTGCAGTGGGCCGAGATCACACCACTGCACTCCAGCCTGGGCAAAACAGCAAGACTCTGTCTCAAAAAGAAAGAAAGAAAATGTATCTGAGAATCAGAGGAGGGTTTCAGAACCTTCTGCAGATTCCTTCCATGATGAGGAGACACTTAAGAGCTGTGGCCTTTTATTATCTTTTGAAATAGAATTCTAATTAAATACAGAGCCACATTGTCAGCATCACAGAGCCAGCTGTTTTAAACGGCATTTCTGAATTCTCTTCCTCCTCTTGTCTGTTCAGCTTCCCCCACAATAGAGACGTAAATCATATTCAGACATGGATATTAGGAAATTTGCTGTTGGCAATGTTTCTTTTTTCCTCTTAAATTTGTATTTTTTAGCTCTGCTTTTGTTGCCGAACCAGGAGGTTTTCCTTCTTCACTTGGTCTTATACCTGTCAGTTCTGTAAGAGGTAAGGTATTTTGTAACTGATGAAAAGATAAATGTAACAGTCGTAAGAGAAATACCAATTACCTTCCTTATGTCACTGTCTTTCTACACAGGAGTAAAGTTAGAAATGACTCATTCTGCGAGTTACATTGCACTGTCCTTGTAGGTTAGGAATACTGATTTCTTCAAGAGAGTGAACCAAATGTTTATTTGATATTGAACCTAGAAATGTTTCTCTGTATGTTACTTCTTTTACGTAACTAAGATCATTCTAATAATCTGTCATGTTTGAACAGAAAAAAATAAGATGTGATTATCATATGATCCCTGGATAGACAAATAAGAAAATTCCAAACAGATGTAAGTTGATCCTTTATAGGAGACAGTGTAAGAGTTAAGTTCTGTAGATTATCTTTTTGGCAATTCATAGTGTGTCAATGTGTTACTTTCTAATAGAAGGGAGAGTTTTGCAGTTTATTGTAGAAACTTACAACTGTACTGCCTTAAGCTTCTCTAACTCCCAGCTGTATCCCCTGTATTACGCCGAGTAACATTTGTGATTTTGTGTACAGGCCGGTGTGCTCACAGTGTTGCAAAAAGGTAAGCTAAGCTTGGTCCATTTATACTTGTGCTGGTTTTAGTGACCTCCTGTTTAACAGTACTGCTCATTGTCAGTTTTATTTGGGATAACAGATGCGGCTGCCATCCAAGCCATACTCCACTCTTCCTATCTTTTCATTGGGACCTTCTGCTCTGCAAAGAGGCGAAAGTAGTACGAGGTCAGAAAAACCGTCCACTGCCCATCATCGGCCACTTCGGAGCATCGCCAGGTGAGCAAGGGGCCTGGGTTGTCAAATCATCCTTTGCAAAAGAAGAGTTCTACTCTTGAGGACTGGGGTGGGGTGTTCGGGTTTTGGCTCAAGGGGTTTTTGTTGGTTGGTTGGTTGGTTGGTTGGTTTTAATACAGTTTTACACACAAATCTCCAAAACTTCCCCAAAGGTAACTTTTCAAGGAATAATGGCTAGCTACTTGAAAGATACTTTCATCAGAGTTTATGTTTTTTTCTACTTTAGAAAAAACTATTTTACTGTGTCCTATAAGAGTCTTTAAAACTGACCTTGTTTTCAATGGAGTTGGAAATTGGAATGTAATAGTCTTATCCTTCTTTCCTCCTTGTCTAGTTTTGAAAGGAATCTGTTTAAATCCTGTTTACAATGTTCTGCCATAGCTTTGACTGACTTTACTATTATTCTAAAGGCAGAAATAAAGCTTTATGCCAAAAGCTGATAATTTAAAAGAAAAAACATCACCTGAGTATCAGCCCCTTTGCATTTAGTGCAGGGTAAGTTTAGTGTTGGGCCTTAAGAAAGATGGAAGGAGGTAGGCCAGCTCGAGCCTCAAGCTGGCAGGGCCGAGAGGCTGGGCTTTGATGCACCAACCACATGTCATGGCTCTGTGGACAGCAAGGCGAGGAAGCTGTGAGCCCAGCATGAACCTTGTGCCTGAAACGTCTGCCTCTGTGCTTGGGCTCCCTCATCTGAGACCTCTGGGTGTGAACTGTCAGTGAACTCAAGGCAGTGCACATAACAGCTGCTGCAGTTTTCCATACTTACTCTGAACCTACTATAGACTACCTGTTTATATCCTGTTTGGTTTAGTTAAAATAGTAAATAAGGCTGGGCGCGGTGGCTCACTCCTGTAATCCCAGCACTTTGGGAGGCCGAGGCGGGCGGATCACGAGGTCAGGAGATTGAGACCATCCTGGTTAACATGGTGAAACCCCATCTCTACTAAAAATACAAAAAATTAGCCGGGCGAGGTGGCGGGCGCCTGTGGTCCCAGCTACTCGGGAGGCTGAGGCAGGAGAATGGCAGGAACCCGGGAGGCGGAGCTTGCAGTGAGCCGAGATGGCGCCGCTCACTCCAGCCTGGGTGACAGAGCGAGACTCCATCTCAAAAAAAAAAAAAAAATAGTAAATAAGTAGACAATTCCTGGTTATCTCAGACATTCCTGGAAACATTTATTATGATGTTGGTCTGGTTAACTCCATCTCCTTGGAATCCCAATAAATAATTGCCCAAATACAGAGAATTGTTGGGGAGGGAGAGGCTTGTTTGATAAATACATAAATGAGAAAACTGGTCAAAAGATAGTTTTTTAGGATGTGTCATGGGATTCAGATAAATTTTTTTAAATTTCCTATTGTTTGATCTGCCATCTACGTTAGCTAATGTTCACTGGGAATCAGGTGAATACCCTATTTTCCAAGAATTCTAGAAGGGTGGTTAAGAGTTTTTAGTTTTTTTGGCCAGGCATGGTGGCTCACACCTGTAATCCCAGCACTTTGGAAAGCCGAGGTGGGCGGATTACCTGAGGTCGGGAGTTTGAGACTAGCCTGACCAACATGGAGAAACCCCGTCTCTACTAAAAATACAAATATTTTAGGCGGGTGGGTGGTCACGATGCCTGTCAATGGTTATCCTCAGCTACTTGGGAGGCTGAGGGCAGGTGAGATCCTGCTGAACCTTGGGAGGCCAGAGGTTGATTGCAGTGAGCCGAGATTGCAACGCCATTGCGACTCCAGCCTGCGGCATACAAGAGCGAAATTCCGTCAGCATGGAAAAAAAAAAAAAAAAAGAGTTTTAGTTTATTGTTGTTTGTTTTGTTTTTTTCAGATAAACAAGTTTCATTTATTCATCTCTCCTCCTGTCTGGCGCTTTTCCTCCTCTTTCTCATCCTTCTCTTCCACCTTTTCTGGGCAACTTATCAGCGTACCGTTCGTTTCTCGCATTCAAGTACTTCCTTTCGAACTACCTGATCAGAAGTAGCATCCCCTGTCTCACACTTTTCCTTCCGCTTTGCCGCCTCAGTAGGTGTAAGTTTTCTCAACTAGTCATTTAAGTATTCCACAACCTCACCCAGCGTTTTACGCACATAGAGATGCCAGAGTTTATGAATTTGATCTTGGGGTGGAATTCAGAACAGAGCGCAGCGAAGAATCCCAGATGGTGGCTTCTCAGGCATTAGGATCCCTTCTTCTTGCCTCCCTTCACAGCGCGCGATAGTCCCTCATTTCATATGCGTACTATCCACCTGCCCTTCATCAAAATTAGACTGTCTCCTTCCGCAGACATTGTCTTCCACCTATGTGCAGAGCACTGTGGGAAAATTCTGCAAAAAATTGACAGTAGCCCTCTGGGCTTTTCTTATGTTATCTCTGCACATCTGCACAAAGAAGCATAAGCCAGAACATCTTACCCTTTCGTTTCTTGGGGTCACCTTTAGCCATCCTGACTCTCATGTTCCGATGAGTCGGGCAGCGCCATTTTTTTTTTTTTTTTTTTGTTTTTTTTTTTTTTTGATAAGGAGTCTCGCTCTGTCGCCCAGGATGGACAATGGCGCAATCTCGGCTGACCTCGGCTGACTGAAAGACACCGGTCTCTCCTGGGTTCACACATAGCTCTGCCTCAGCCCCTGTGTAGCTGAGACTACAGGCGATGGCCGCCCACCCCGCCTTGGCAAATTGTTTTTTGTATAATTGAGTAGAAGACGGGTTTCACTGCATGGGTTATTAGCCAGGGGATGTCTGCTCCATCTCCTGATCACTCGTGATCCGCCTGCTGCGGCCTCCCAAAAGTGGCGGAATTACAGGCATAAGCCACCCGTCCGCCTGCGGCACGCCTATCGTATAAGCGACATTTCTGCTTTTCTTTTCCATTTCCTGTCTTCTTTATTTTTATTTTATTTTCCTGTTTTCTTGAGACAGTGTTCTGTCTTATTGTCACGCAACGAGTTGGCTGGCAGTGCAGTGGTGCCATCTCAGCTACACACTACAACTTCCACCGTCCAGGTTCCAGCCGATCATTCACCTCCCTCAGAGCCTCCCCGAAGTAGTGGGGGCGGATTACCCCTCGCCACCCATGCCCCAGCTAATTTCTTGTTTCTTTTTTTTTTTTTCTTTTAGGAGGACCGTGGGTTCGCCTGGTTAGACCAGGCTGGCCTCACAAACCTGACCTCATGATCACGCCGGCCTCGGCCTCTCCAAAGTGCTGGGATTACAGGCGTGAGCCACCGCACCTGGCCTCCTACTTTCTTTTCTAAGTAATATTTTTTAGCCTTGTCTCCAATAAGAAATTTTTTTTAGAAGGACATATGATTAAATCACTCATCCATTCCATGATGTTTTGACAACAAATTTACTTTTTATTTCACATACTTTCTTCTTATTGCAGTAGACCTATAAGTAACGATGCTGGGCTTCTGTTTGGTTTTCTGTTGTTTTTACCCCAGGTTCTCCTCAAAATCTAAGTCTATGGACAAATCAGATGAAGAACTCCAGTTTCCCAAAGAGTTGATGGAGGACTGGAGCACCATGGAGGTGTGTGTGGACTGCAAGAAGTTCATTTCAGAAATCATCAGTTCAAGCCGGCGCAGTCTGGTGTTGGCCAACAAACGGGCCCGATTGAAAAGGAAAACGCAGTCTTTCTACATGTCCCCGCCAGGCCCCTCGGAGTACTGCCCTTCAGAGAGGACGATCAGTGAGATCTGAGCCTCGTGCCTTTCAGCTGCTTTTGTGCTTAGAGTCAGCGTCCGTGCGCGAGAACACTGAGCCGGGCTGGCTCTCCTTTCTGTGGTTTTATTTAATGGGCTTGAATTTGCATTAGATCAGATTTTTGCTGCATCACATTGTTCCACAGACTGAATGCTGTGTTCATATCAATTGATGAAACGTGACAGGTCCGCCAATTGCTCGTTTGCACTGAGAGAGGACAACAGTTTGAAACTTACTTTTGTGTCTGTGTGGCTTTGGGAGCCAGTAACTACTTCCTTAGTTCAGTTCTTTACTGTTCCTCGAATAATCTCCTAAGGCAAAAAAATCAAAAGCTTCTCCTGTGAGAATCAGTCTAGCAGAGACGCCGATGTCAGCACAGCCCTAAGCAGTAAGTCATATTGGCATTTCCACGTGACCGTGTTTCTACCCCGTGTACAGAGAGATCCAGAGCCCTACGCACCAGGACCTGGGGGCTCGCCGCACAGAACCTAGAAGCACCTGCTGACACTCTCCAACTGATTTTTAAATTATTGTTGCTTGGAGATGAAAATTACATAAGGGACTTTATGCCTGCATTCTAGTGCAAAACATCTGAAGAGCTGTACACCCACAAGGGTGACTATTTCCCCTGAGTGGCCGTGTTGTCCCAGTGCCCTGAATCAGTGTCTCCTGAGTGGATGACAGGTCTTCATTCTCTATCTTGAATGTATTATGGTAACTAATAGTTTTATAATGGAGGTCTAAGAATTGAAGTTTTGTGGGAGTTTCAGGACAAAGGAAGGCTAAAAGTTTGTCAAGAAGTTGCGCATATTTTGGTTACCTATGAGAAGGGTTGTGACCGCGTACGGTGGCAGCTGTTGGCCGCGCTGCAGAAATGAGCTGGAGCTCATGCGTTTTCAGCTACATTTTTCATCACTTTATAGTACGTCCATCTTGAGTAAATTAAGCCACAATTTGGTACCTAGGGTCTCAAAAACTGAAATTTATTTTTATAAATGAATTTTAAAAGAAAAAATATCTACTTTTAAAGTGAGAAGAAAATTAACCTGCCGACAGGCAACATTTTTGGGTGCTTTCTGCACTAGTTTTCCTTGTAAATGATTTGAGTGAGCAGGTTGGGTTTCTGACGAAAGTAGACCGGAGGGTAGCACTGTATGCCTCAAACGTCTCACTGTGTTTGACTCATACCATGGGCTATACTTTATTATTCTGGTATGCTTACAAATGACCAACCAATCAAATTGCCATTAAAGTTTGGAAAATCTATTAATGCACATGCACAGTAATTTCCGGAAAGCCATAGGACATGTCTGCAGTCAGCACCATGACAGCACCGTGTCATGAAAGGCATGGCGGCTGCATTTCATACCACATCAAATACAGTAACATTTCTCTACTAAATTAACAGCAATACCTCAAAACTGCTCCGGTAGTAGTTTTTAATGGGTTGAAATTTACAGTTTAGTAAATGGCTTAAAATTACTTATACTTATGAAATAAACTTTACCAGTTGACTAAAATAATGCATGTTAACAGTTGGTCTGTATTTGCATGTAAAAGTGGGCCACCAGAGAACCCTTATTGATTACTTAATTTAAGTGTTTAAATTATTTTAAAGACTCCTGTTTAAGAGCTTTAAGAATTGTACTGGGCGAATCTCATTTATAAAACTTCCTAAGAGCCTATCTGAACTCTAGACTCCAGACAGTTAGGTGGGAGTAGAAATCTACCCCCTTTGATGACCCCAGGCTTGAGTTTTTAAAATGACTACCCAGAAGGGCACAAGGGGGAGGAAGTGGTATTTGTATATGTATATAAATATGCACCTAGGAGAATGTGCTTTTTAAAATAATGACTACTGTTTTTATTAAAACATAAGAAACTACACCCCCAAAATAAGACTTTCATTCACATTCACAAAGCAAACATCTAGTAAATGTCTTTCACTTCACTTTATGATACTGTATGGGATGATTTGGGCATTACGATCACCTCTTACCACAGCATAGAACATCCATTCTTCAACAGCATTAACGGAGTTTGCCAAGTACATTAAAGAGGTCACGGGGAGGGTACGTTCATATGAAACAATCTGCAGAAACTGGCGTAAGAAAGGGCACATGGCACAAAGTTGTAGAAATCAAATTACTATCATTTTTTGTTGCCAAAACAAAGTCTTACATTTAACCCCCCTTTGTACCACCCCCCTCAACACTTCACCTAAGCTAGATAATTTCCATAGGGTAATTCACTAAGAGCTTGTGGAGCTTGGTTTTAAAATCCTTGGCCTAGTCTGACTTTAGGCATAGCTTCCAGTTCTTCCTTCCTTGTCCTGGTTTCTTGTTCAGCTTTTACTTCTAATCCAACAACAAAACAGATGTCTGGCTGGTCTCAGAGCATGTGTGCATTTCTGAACCATCATCCCTGCTCTCCTCTCAGCTCCCTCCAGGCCTGAGCACCGGTTCCTTTTGTCCTGTACGTCATAAAGTCACACTAGTGGGAAACCTGTGCTTCCATCTCCATGGCTTAACTCCCTGTCAGTGTCGGAGTGTATAAGAATGCTTGTAAATATTGTAATATACTTATTAATATTTGAAAGACATTCATTCAGTGGACAGTGGGAATTAAGTCTCCCAAGGCAAGTGAAAAGAAATGATCAACATGTACACTGATTTAACAATCTTACTAGATTTTAATTCTTAAGTATTTCAATTGAAACCAGAAGGTGGTTATGTAGGAGGCTTAAAATGATCTTATGTCTAAAGAGATTCTGTTATTAGCACCATGAACTCATACTATGAAATTTTTAAGCCTTTTATTTTTCTAACTATATTAATATAGGACTGGATTTTGGGCATCATATAGGAAACACAAAAGTTGTTGCTGTTTGCTAAAGCAATATAGCAGAAAATTTCGTACATGCAAAACTGCTGAAGGACTGCAGAGAAATGTGTACTACTGACGGGGCTTTTACTAGGCTTCCTGCGTGTGTAAAAGTCGAGGTATTGCTGGCATTCAGGGTGACATGATGGTACTAAATGTTTTCCATTAAAGTCTTCTATTTTAAAATTTAGGGAAAAATAAAATGGCTTTCCATCATACGTTCTGTGTTGAGTTCCTATCGTAAGACGGTGATGTCTTTTGTTAACTGTCAGAAATCATCTCGATTGGGAATGCAGGGTACTTCTATCAGCAGCCTGTGAAGAAACACAGTCTAGGCCAGGCGTGGTAGCTCAGTAATCCCAGCACTTTGGGAGGCCAAGGCAGACGGATCATCTGAGGTCAGGAGTTCAAGCGATTCTCGTGCCTCAGCCTCTCGAGTAGCTGGGATTACAGGTGCCTGCCACCACACCCAGCTAATTTTTGTATTTTTGTACATGGTGGCCTACATAGTGAAACCCCACCTCTACTAAAAATACAGAAATTAGCCGGGCATGGTGGTGTGCTCCTGTAATCCCGGCTACTGGGGAGGCTAAGGCATGAGAATCGCTTGAACCCGGCAGGTGGAGGTTGCAGTGAGCTGAGATCATGCCACTGTACTCCAGCCCCCTGGGCGACAGAGCAAGACTCCCCCTCAAAAAAAAAAAGAAATACAGTCTACGAGGACCACACTGGAAAAATTAACCACCACAGTGACAAGCCACCACAAGTGACAAGCAGCTATGAGTTAGGAGAGTATGTAAAGCGTACATAACATTTTATTATGTGTCACAAATATGGAGACAAATCCTGTGGGAGATGGATGAAGCTTTCTTTGACAGCTTCCTGGAGGCATAATTGATAAAGCAGAAAAGCCCGCACAATAAGCAGTAAGTCATGTTGGCATTCCCACGTGACCGTGTTTCTATCCCGTGTAAAGAGACATCCAGAGCCCTACGCACCAGGACCTGGGGGCTCACCGCACAGAACCTAGAAGCACCTGCTGACACTCTCCAACTGATTTTTAAATTATTGTTGCTTGGAAATAAAAATTACATTAAGGGACTTTATGCCTGCATTCTAGTGCAAAACATCTGAAGAGCTGTACACCCACAAGGGTGACTATTTCCCCAGCCACGCCCAGGCGTGTCCCACCCCATCATGTGTGGCTTGGTGGCGCTTCACAGGTGCTGCATTTTTACAGTTTCTGGCAGCCCTGCAGCAGGCAAGTCAGTCGGCAGCGTTTTTCCAACAGCTTGTGCGCACTTTGTGTCTCTGCATCACATTTTGGTAACTCTCACATTTCAAGCTTTTTCATTATTACTGTATCTTTTATGGTGATCTGTGGTCTTTGACGTCACTATTGTAATTGTTTTGGGGAGCCATGAACTGGGCCCGTATAAGATGGCAAACTTAATCGATAAATGTTGTGTGTGTTCTGACCGTTCCCCCATCTCTCTCCCTCTCCTCAGACTCCCCATTCCCTGAGAAACAATATTGAAATGAGGCCAATAACCCTACAGTACAGTGGCTTCTAAGTGTTAAGTGAAAGAAAGAGTTGAGTCTCTCATTTTAAATCTGAAGCTAGAAATGATTATGCTTAGTGAGGCAGGCATTCAAAGCTGAGATGGGCCCAAAGCTAGGCCTCTTGCACCAAACAGCCAAGCTGTGAATGCAAAGAGAAAGTTACTGAAGGAAATTAACAAGTGCTACTCCAGTGAACACTAATAAGAAAGCAAGCTGTGTGTGGTGCATGCCTGTAGTCCCGGCTCCTCAGGAGGCTGATGCAGGAGGATCGCTTGAGCCCCAGGAGTTTGAGGCCGCAGTGAGCTATGATCACACCACTGGATTCTGTTCTGAGTGAGAGTGAGACTCCATTTCTTTAAAAAAAAAAATGATAAGAAAGCAAAACAGCCTTATTTCCTGATACGGAGAATGTTTGAGTGGTCTGGATAAAGAACCACATTTTGAGAACGTTTGGGTAGTCTGGATAAAGACCAGCCACATTTCCTTAAGCCAAATCTAATCCAAAGCAAGGCCCTAGCTCACTTCAATTCTTTGAAGGCTGAGAGAGGTAAGGAGGCTGCAGAAGAAAATCTGAAAGCTGACAGAGGTTGTTGGTTCATGAAGTTTAAGGAAAGAAGCCATCTCCGTAACATAAAGTACAAGGCAAAGCAGTAACTGCTGATGGAGAAGCTGCAGCAAGTTCTTCAGAAGCTCTAGCTATGATCTTGAAGAACGTGGCTACACTACACATTTGCAATGCAGATGAAACAGAAGATGCCATGTAGGACTTTCACAGCTAGAGAACAGTCAATGCCTGGCTTCCCGGATTCAAAGGCTGACATGCTTGTTAGGGACTAATGCAGCTGGTGACCTTAAGTAGAAGCCAGTGCTCATTTACCATTTGGAAAATCCTAAGGCCCTTGAGTCTGAAGCTAAATCTACTCTGCGTGTACCCTGCCAATGCCCTGCCAATGACTAACAAAGCCTTGACAGATGACAGCAGATCTGTTTACAGCAAGGTTTACTGAATGTTTTAAGCCTACTGTTGAGACCTACTGCTCAGAAAGAAAAGATTGCTTTCAAAATATTACTGCTCATTGACAAATGCACCTGGTCACCCAAGAGTTCTGATGGAGATGTACAGGGAGATTGTTGTTTTCATGCCTGCTAACACAACATCCATTCTGTAGCCCATAGATCAAGAAGTAATTTTTACTTTTATTTAAGAAATACACTTCATAAGGCTTTAGCTGTCACAGGCAGTGGTTCCTCTGATGGATCTGGGCAAAGCATATTGAAAACCCTCAGGAAAGGATTCACCATTCTAGATGCCATTAAAAACATTGGCGATTCATGGAAGGAGGCCAAAATGCAACATTAACAGGAGTTTGGAAGAAGTTCATTCCAAGACTCCAGTAGAGGAAGTAACTGCAGACGGGGTGGAAGTAGCAAGTGAGCTAGAATTAGACATGTAGCCTGAGGATGTGACTGAATTACTGCAGTCTCATGAGAAAACGTAAATTATTCAGGCATTGGTTCTTGTGAACGAGCAATGTGGTTTTTTAAGAGGAAATTGCTGGTGAAGATGCTGTGAACATTGTTGAAACGATCAAAGATTTAGAGTAGTGCATACTTAGTTGATAAAGCAGCGGCAGGGTTTGAGAAGACTGACTCAGATCTTGGAAGTCATTCTACTGTGGGTAACCTGTTATCAAACACCATTGCATGCTACAGAGAAATTTTTCATGAAAGGAAAATGCAGTTGACGCCGAAAACTTCATTGTTTTGTAAAATGTGTCCCTCAACGGACACACTCCTAAAATACGAGCAGAGGAAGGTTCTTGTGTTTTTGTGTTAACTAAGAATGCGTGGTTTACCTTCTAAATATCTTACACATTACATAATGTTGAGTTTTATATTAATCCATTTACATAAGCTCTTCCCTCAGTTGCCAGACATTTTTAGGAGCCCCTTCCTCTGAAGTTACTCTGTGATACGTGTATGTCAAGATACTTGTGTGTATGTGTCCAACTCATAATCCACATGTCCAGTGACTAAGTCCAAGTCATAATCTTTGACTCCTGCTTCCTGTATTGAAGATACACAAAGAATTTGGATACTATAAGTGGGAAAAGCTTTGGGTAACACATATTTAACTTTTTTCTCACCAGCTCCAGTTGAGGAAAAGATGTACAGTTGTAAATCACAGTCTACAGTTTCATGAAGAAAACTACCTTTAGGAAAGGACTTGATTACACACGTGAGTTATTTAAAGACTCCTTGGCCAGGCATGGTGGCGCATGCTCGTAATCCCAGCATTTTAGAGGCCAAGGCGAGTGGATCAGGAGTTTGAGACCAGCCTGCCCAACATGGTGAAACCCCATCTCTACTAAAAATACAAAAAGTTAGCCTGGCGTGGGGGTGGGCGCCTGTAATTCCAGTTACGCAGGAGGCTGAGGCAGGAGAATCGCTTGAACCTGGGAGGCAGAGGTTGCAGTGAGCTGAGATTATGCCACTGCACTCCAGCCTGGGCAACAAGAGAGAAACCCAGTCTCAAATAAATAAAGACGCCTGATATAGCTGCAGAATGTGCATGTGCTCACACCATGCACACGCACACACACATTCATTATAGCTTATAACAAAGGGTATGGTACTTCCCTCCTGTTAGCCAAAGGCATGTGAATGTGAAACCTCTCCCTTTGCCCACCCAAAAAAGTTTAAGAGCTAAGACCTGCTTAATATAAAACCCAGCCGGGCACGGTGGCTCATGCCTAGAATCTCAGCACTTTGGGAGGCCAAGGTGAGAGAACTGCTTGAGTCCAAGAGTTCAAAACCAGCCTTGGCAACATGGCGAGACCCCCATCTCAAAAAAAAAAAAGCCTCTGCCGACACGAATCAAATGTTCAGATGCAGGCTGGGCGTGGTGCCTCACGCCTGTAATCCCAGCACTCTGGGAGACTGAGGCGGGCAGATCACTTGAGGTCAGGAGTTCAAGACCAACCTGGCCAACATGACGAAACCCCATCTCTACTAAAAATACAAAAATTAGCTGGGCATGGTGGCGCGCACCTGTAGTCCTAACTACTCAGGAAGGTAAGGCAGGAGAATCGCTTGAACCTGGGAGGCAGAGGTTGCTGTGAGCTGAGATTGCGCCACTGTACTCCAGCCTGGGTGGAAAAAAAAACTTCAGATGTAATTACCTGGAGGACTGAATTTTTACTATTCCAGCTCATCCTGTTAACATACACGTGGTGTCTAATATGTTAGCCATTGCTGTGCAGGGCACTGCAGCTGTGCTCCTGATACTGGTGGCTGCCTCGGAGCCCATCTGATGGAAACAGTGACAGCAAGCGTTCCAGAACTGACAGGACAGCGCTCCGGAAATGTGGGGCATCTGGAAGCTTATGTCCTCAGGGCTTGAGAGCGGAAGAAACATCTACATGTTTGACACAGCCTAGTGTTCAGGTTTCTTCTGGCACCAAGAGGGTCAGACACTGTGAGTCCCGTGCTGGGAATGGTTGCAGCTGCTGCACTGAGGCAGGTTGTCTGTGAATTGAGGGGATGTGGCTCCCTTGATGCTTGCTCGTCTTGTACGCATTCTTCTTTGCTTTGGGGCTCCCTTCTGACTACAGCAATCATCTGTTGTCCCTGATCTGCCTCCATCCCTAACC